AGAATCTTGAAGGATGAGTGGGAAGCCACCACATGGAAGGGTGTAGGGAAAGTCAGGGAGGTCTGACTCCGCAGAGGACAGGCAGTGCAATGGCAGTCCCCAGCAACTGAGCAGAGTCCAAAACATGCCCTTCAAAGTTAAGGCAGCTGTCAACATGAACAGCCCTGTCCTAGGACGCAGGATTCTAGCCACAACTGCAATCAATCAATGACTGGAAGCAGCAGACAACAGTATCAGATTACATTTACATGTGTTCAAGAGCGGCTAAAGTCCTCGCCTTGAATGTGCCAGGATCCCATATGGGTGCCAGTTCTAATCCCGGCAACTCCACTTCCCATCCAGCTCCCTGCTTGTGGCCTGGGAAAGCAGTCAAGGACGGCCCAAAGCTTTGGGACCCTGCACCCGTGTGGGAGACCTGGAATAAGTTCTTGGATCCCGGCTTCGGATCAGCATAGCATCGGCCCACTGCGCTCACTTGGGGAGTGAATCATCGGACCGAAGATCTTCCTCTCTATCTCTCCTCCTATCTGTATATCTGACTTTTCAATAAATATATAAATCTTTAAAAAAAAAAAGAATGAAACGGAACTCTTTTTTTTATGATCTTGAGCAAGAGTTAAGATCTATGGTATATAATAAGACCATAAGAGAGGAAGGAAATGAAAATATATTCATTTTCCAAATAAAATTCCTTTTCTAAAAACCAAAGTTTTTATATTAAAGTAATGCCTTGTTCATCATTTGGATTTTTAAAATTTCATGTTCATGTAGAAATGCCTACCCTCTCATGGAATTAACAGTCTAGCAGAACAAATGATGCAGTCCACAAGTAACAACAATCTTGGGCTCCACACAAGTGTCATCATGAGCTACAGAGAAATGAGACGATATTTCCTGATGCAAAGGGGGGGGGGGCAGGCAGCACACTGGTTCAACTGATTAATATTCTACCTCCAAGCCGCTGGCATCCCATATGGACACTGAGTCAGATCCCAGCTGCTCCACTTATGATCCAGTTGACAGCCTGGGAAAGTAGCAAAGGATGGCACAAGCCTTTGGGACCCTGCACCCATGTGGGTAGAAAACCAGAAAGAAGCTCCTGGCTCCTGTATCAGGATCAGCTAAGCTCTAGCCATTGTGGCCACTTGGGGACTGAACAAGTGGATGAAGTTCCGTGTCTCTCCTTCTCTAAATCTGCTTTTCCAATAAAACAAACAAATCTTAAAAAGTCAGAAAGGTATAGAAGAGAACATGGTATTTAAGTTAGGACTGATTTTCAACATGCTGAGTTAGGAGAGAATACAATTTTTAAAAATAAATGTGGTCATTCACTCATAACAATGATTCACTCAGTCAAATATTTGCTTAGAATCATAAGCAATAGTGACATGAAACAAGCCAACTAAAAGAGGAAAAAAAACTTTTGTAGACAATTTTTTTGCCCTTTACATAATAGAATATGGAAGTATTAGTTTCTTTCAACCATAAGCTACAATTTCAAGAACTGTTTTCAAGAACTAGAAACTATTAGGTAGCTTTTGCACACGTGTGAAACAGAGCTTTGCTTATAACCCATGTCACTCTTCTGTTCCAGGTTGTTCCTCTGATGAGGGAATTGTGGCAATTACTGAGGCTGACTAAGGTGGACAAAGAGAAGGAACAAAGATTTCACTGGGCCAGAGTTGGAAAAAAATCACATCACAGCCTAGGTTCCACTCCACATCACACTGAAATTCAGCCACCCAGCCACGGAGCAAAGCTTTCCACAGCTACGTCTCACAGGCACTGAGGCCATCACCTTTACCTTCTAATCACATAACATGCTAGAAACTTGGGAATCCTTCACCCCTCAAACCCTCATTATCACCACCACAGCAACTATGTTATAATGTGAATATGAGCCGCTGTCCAGCCCACTGTATCATAAGTAATGTCTCATTTGATCTTCATTTAAAAAACTCTTGAGTCAGTTGGGTTTCTGCAGTGTGGTGGTTATCACGTTCGCCTCACACCTCATAATGCTGGGGCCTGCATAGTGGGGACAGGCTAATCCCTGCCTGGAAGCTAATCCTCTGCCTCTTGTGTCACTATCCCATGTGGGTGCTGGCTCGTGTTTCAGCTGCTCCACTTCTGTATCTTCAACCTGCTTAGGGCTGCTCCAGCTGCCCCACTTCTGATCCAGCAATCTGCTCATGGCCTGGGAAAGCAACAGAGGTTAGGCCAAGTGCTTAGACCCCTGTACCCACACAGGAGACCTAGGGGAAGCTCCTGGCTCCAAACCTCAAAATGGGCCAGATATGAACTCTGTCTCTCCTTCTAACTCTGCCTTTCCAACAAAAATAAATAAAATTTTAAAAAATATCCCATGAGGTAGGACTACTATCAACATTTTACCAAAAGGAAGTTGACACTCAGGAAGGTTAGGAAATGTTCTCAAAAAACACAGCTAGGGCAGCAGTCATATCTACCTTAGCAACACCACAATGCTAAAAGTCTCATTATCTTTTCTTCTCAGTTCTTTTGCTCTCTCTCTTTCTCTCTCTCTCCCTCCTTTCTACCATCTCCAACCACCACTATTTAAAATGAAGCCTCAACCCTCAGTTGGTTGACTACAATGTCCTCTAGTCCTAAGCCTCACCTAGTTGTTCTCCAAATTACCCATGTGGCAGATTAGAAGCCCAAAGGCCCACACATCTCAGGTGCCTCCCTGAATGAACTGAAGCAAGATCTCCTGCCAAGTGGGGAAATCACCTGGTCTCAAATCTGGTGATTCTGTGCTGCAACACAGAGCCACTGAGCGTTCAACACAGCATGATAGCATGTTTCTTTCGGAATACTGGCAACTATTTCCAAAAACTTTGGAAAACACTTAGAGCAAAACTCAATTCACTTATGTGCTAGATTGAGTCATTGTCAGCAGATTATAAACTCCAAAGTACCATACAATTTCCTTGCATGGAATCGTTACCATGTTTCTGTCGACTTGGGGATAAAGGCTAATTTCCCTTATCTGACATCAAAGACCTCCCACAAGGCAGCCCACTGCACCTCTCTCCAAATATCCTTCGAACATATGCAGGGTTATTGGGTTGAGGGTCTTCTATTTTTCTGGAACGTACCCTTCCCCATGGCTACAGAGGTTGTGATGCATTTTTCTGTCTACCCAAGTGTCCTTCACATAATTTATCCCTCAGGATTAAGCTGGACCATCATAACTCCATCTCTCCAGGTCAGGGATATTGCCCCTAAGATAGCGTCTTGCAAAATCCAATACCAAACACAGCCCTGATTCTGCAGTGTCATTATGTGCGGGCCTTCCACGCTAACACTGAGATGCATGAAGACCCTGGGCTTCATTTTACTGGGATGATGTGTGCAATGGTGGGCCCAGAATAAGGCAGGTGACAATGGTACTCAGGACACAGACATTGAATGACTGCCATCAACTGAACACTAAACCCGTAAATGTTCCCTGATCCTCCCCGGAGGGAGGTCATTCTCCCCCTCAGTTCCATCACCTCTTTTGCCCTCTTTCCTATTTTAGAACCATATCAGGGATAAAAGCCAACTATTTTACCAAGTTGAGCGCCTCAAAAGTAAGGGTCCTTGTTTTAATAATGTTTATATCTTCCCAGCACTTAAGTCAGCTCTCAAATATTTGTCAGATAAATCACAGTAAAACTCTGAAGGCTAAGGTTCTGTAATTCCATTCTGTTTCCTTCTTGTTCCATTATCCAAGTGCAAACATTGCTAGATAATCACAATGGTTCCACTTCTGAGATTTGTGGATGAGTACGATCAGAGAAACGAGGAAGAAATGGTGCAGCTGCACACAGAGTTAGCCAACAAAAGGCTTTATTCAGGAATGCGTTAACAGGACAAAGTGTCTACTTTTGATCAATTATTTACTTCCAAAAATGGGCAGGGTAAATAAAATGTACTTAAAAACATGCTACACACTATATATTCTGAGAAAGACCTTTGTGAAGCACCGCTCCCAGTTCTTCATGTGTATTCTGCCTATTGAGCACGCACTATAGGAGGCAAACTTATGGTAACAATTTTGCAATACAGAATTAAGGAAACTGTGGCTCAGAAAAGCTAGATCTCTAGCTTCTCACAGCTGCAAGTCATAAGAACACAGATCCTGAACCCAGATCAGTTGGTGAGAAAGCACATATTCTCATGTCTACATAGTTCTCCACTAGGCAATCTTGTAAATGTTAATAACCACAAGATACATACATTGGAGTTGATTTTTTTTAGTCTCCTTGAACAAAGAAATTCTTTAACTTTTATAACAAAATCAATTTCCCCCAACATTTTTATTAAAAATCCTACCTTAGAAACATGTTCAGTGACATGTGATGCTATCTTTCATTAATCATCTTAAAAGTACATTGAAAGTACCAATTGCATTTGACATATTTCTCCACTAAAGTATCATTAGATGATTGATGAAATATTATTCACTGCCAAAAATAGTTTAAACAAAAAATCCCTTATGTACCAAAACAACACAATGAATACCAATAGTTGCTACTACAACAGTTTGTATATTTTATATAACAAAAATATTCCTTACCTGAATTGTTCCCATAGAAAATTAGCAAACATGAAACACAATTCCCTTGGGTTAATTATAGGCCGATGTTAGCAATTTCATTTGGTTGACTTTTTAAATATTTGTTTCTTTAAGTATTAAAAATAGAAACTATCCTTTAGGTTAGAATGGAGGTCAGTTTATTAGAGTCATACAATAGGAAAATTACAAACTGAAAGGGGGGGGAAATCTAATGTAATAACTGGATTAAAATTAATTTAGTACAACTGTGAACAGAGTAAGACCATCTTATCGAATAGTTTCCTCACAAAGAAGCAACTCAGAAAGACATCTAAAGTTAAGTTTTGTTTATAGCTTTGTCACATTATCAAGAAGAAGTTATGCCTTTCAAGACATAGATTAGCCAAATATATTTCAAGAAATATGTTCCTCTAACCTTTGAGCTGGCACCTTATTCTGGCTAGTCTCTGCCTTAAGACGTAGAAAGCTGCAAAACAAATGTCCAAAAAAAGAAATTCCAGATCTTTTCTCTGTAAGGAGGCTGGACTTGGGTATTTATCAACTTGTTACATTCCCGGAGACTTACACATATTCAACTTTCAGTGCTTTTCTGAAACAAAAAAAAAGTCTAGGACATGTTTAAAATAGTAATACTTTAGTCACCATTTGTTATTTTAAAACATTTTATAACAAAGATATTAACCAATAATTGAAGTTATGCTATTCTTCAATAGTTCAAGTTCAGACCTTTTTGACATGGTATCTTCCAATCCAAATTTTCACTTTCAGAATATTAATTTTTGGTTCCTAGAGACAGTATCCTTTTATTTCAATGCATGTTGGACAAAATAGCTGTAAAAATTAAACATTTTCATTGATTAGTAACTAGGCTGGTATCTTTAAGTTGGTTATGTCTTCACTTACCTGTTTTGTACAGACTGTATGTTTCCTTTTCTCTCCAACTTTGGAGAGAAAATATTAAGGTTTTGTTGGTTTTTTTTTTTTCTTCCCTTCCACAGCATATTCCTCTGGCATAGCTGCCGTGGTTGTCAATAGCAACAAGAATTACCGTGAAAGCCCAGCCATTTCATTTGAAGATACATAAACAACCTCGCTTGAAGAAAGTAAAGGGAAGAAACTTGAAGCACTATTGGAAATAATGGTCAGAGATGGACCAACCTAGAAAAGCCAGAGGGAAGGGAAGAGATTATTTTCATCCCTTCTGTTTTTGATTTTTGTCTTCATGCTTTAAAGCACAGACCATCCACTATAACTTGCAACTGGGGTCTTTGCAAAATTTTAAGTTAGTTCAACAGAGCCTTCTTTGGGGTTGTATCAAAATAAACACTCTAAGTCCACTATGATTTAGTTGATAACTTAGCAATCGATCCAGAAGGGGTGCTTTGTAGTTTTTGAGGCAACCATTACATTGTTTTCATGTTGGTTAGGTTTACAACAAATCTGCGTTTTTGTTTTTATTGTTGTTGTTAGTCTTAAAAGAACTCACCATATCTTGATGCTGACACATTTCTTAAAATAGAATAATGAATTACATCAGGCACAATCTAAGCAAACAGCTGAAAATAAATCAAAGCATAAATAGCAAATTATATTCTGGATCACATATGAAGGAAAATTGTTCATGATCTGGTTATATGTAAGCAGGAAAAAATATAAAAGGATACCGTTTCTGTAATACTCTTTAATTGCCAATTTTGAATAATCTAGTTTAACAGGAAAAATGATTATTTTAAGCAAAGGTAAAACAACTCAATAAAGAATAGCAAACATCATTATTTTCTAACTCGTTGTATTAGTATCAAGCAGCTGAACAGATCTGTATAATTTATTTTCCTCTTAATTGTATGAATGGGACATGTTTTTCCTCTTTAAAATATCTATTTTAATGTATATAGATTTATTAAGTGTTATGGTGTAAATATGTATACCTGTTAAGACTTCAAAAAACTTTAGCCAGCATCCTATATTTATAAATTTGTACTTTAAAACTATATAAAACCATCTTTTAAATAAGAAACATGTTAATTCTGAAACAAATGACTTCCAGGGAGTTTCTGGGCCTTTTTTCTATTGATGGATCAGGAAATGTTCACAGGATACCATCACTACGAATCTTTGTAAATATGCCAAAAATAAAAGCCCTAGGGGTGTGTGTGTGTGTGTGTGTGTGTGTGTGTGTAAACCCCAGTGTGATTAGCAACTCTTGAAAAATCTACTGATATTTTCCTGACAATCTTCCTCTACATCCATCGTAAAATGGTCACAGTAATAAACGCACACAACACTGCCAGTGAAGCCCCTCCACTGCAGCATGTAACCCCAGAACTCTTTCCTGCAATGTGCCCCAGAACTACCACATCAGTTCACAAGACGGTTCTCTGACAACAGGCAATCTGCTGCATAGAGCTAAAACTAACAGAACATTCCAATTATTTTATGGAACTGCGATCCTTACAAAGCAGAGAAACAGTTTATGGATTTAGAGCCAGCCCTGGACTATGCATATAGCCGAAGAGGACAAGGCGCAAGATCTCTGGGGATGTGAGCCTCATTTTTATCTAAAGGAGTGCCCATCTTCACGTGAGTATCTTTGAAAAAGGTTAGAAAACACCCATATGTCTGAACACGCAAGGCCTTCGGAAAGACACAATAAAAGGTGACAAAGACGGCTGATGTAGTTATTCCTTGCACTTATGACTCAGACTGGAGGCATGTGGCCTAGTCAGCAAGCTGCACAGCAGGACACATGCAGGTCGTCACAGGAAAGAAACACCAGATCTGAGCCAGGAGAGGTCCCCCTGCATGGTGCACTCTTCCCTCCCAATCCAAAACATCAGCTGGAAAAGTTCACTACACCTCCACAGTTTTCATTGTCAAAAAGTTTCTATTCACCCAGCAAACTCTTCACAGGCCACCATCCAGCTCCTCACACTTCCAAAGCCAAAACTCCGAACGACAGACTCCAGGAACAGCATGTTCCCTAGGAATCTGCATGGTCTCTACTTTCAGCATGTTATCTTTGTAAGCATCAGAGAAATGCAAAAATTCACCAGAACTCACAATATGGGAAGACAGAACACTGAACAGTTCTACACATGAACACTTCTCAACTTTATAGATATATTTTGCAAAGGGTACTTATTTTAAAATAACTTTCAAAAAAACCTTAGTTTGAGAATAAAATTATACATCAAAATGCTTTAATTCTTTACATAAAATCACGAGCAAAATTTTCAATTCATCAATGATGTTATAATTAAATTCGAAGGAGAAACCACCTTAAAATTACTGTAATCTATGTGAAACATCAAGAAATATTTATGCAGTCATTTGAACTTTAAACAATTCATCCAGTAGAAACTATTTCTATAGAATTATATGCAATATGAAATCAATTTTAAGGATCCGCAGACATTTAAGAAATACAACTAACATAAGCCATGATTATGTGTTTGCCCTATTAGTGATTAATGGCTTTGCCACTTGCCATGCAAACATTTGGCAGATAATTATCAAGTCCCTATAAAATCTTAACACTGAAATAAAATTGCAAGTACCAAAGGCTTTGGAAAAATATTTTGAATGGCAGGAGTCTTATATTTATTAAGTCTATCCATAAAATTTCTTAACATTGGCAACATACACCATTGACCATTTAGGGACCATCCAGAGGAGCTGGATTTATGAATCTGATTTGTGAAAAATCAAGGTAAGGTCTTTGAAAAGCAATACTGGTTTGACAAAGTAAATATAAATTCAGGAACTCCTAACCATTTTCTCCCTTTGTATACATCACCACAGAGCTTTTCTGTAATGTTGTTTCCTAAAATTTCAGAATATATCAGTAATCTTTATAAAAGGGAGAGTCGACATTTTGGTTCAGCAGGTTAAACCACCTACAATGCTGGTATCCCATATGGTTTCTGGTTGAGCCTCCACTGTTCCACTTCTGATCCAGCTCCCTGCTAATGTATCCGGGAAAGCGGCGAAGGATGGCTTAGGTGCTTGGGTCCCTCTACCCATGTAGGAGACCCAGATAAAGCTTCTGGCTCCTGGCTTCTGCCTGGCTGTTGCAGCAACTTGGGGAGTAAAATAGCAGATGAAAGATGTCTTTCTCTCTCCTCTAACTCCTCTCCCTCCATATCTCTGCCTCTTTCTCTTTAACTCTGGCTTTCAAATAAATAAATAAATAAACATCCTCAAAAAAAAAAAAAAAAAGGATTCCACTAGGACCACAACTGTTCCTTTAATTACGCATCAGTAGTTATTTATAAACTTAAAGAAGTGGTAGTGCATTAAAACAGAAAATGGGCTTGGCAATGTGGCCACTACTTGCCCTATCTGGCACCCTCTCTGCATGCTGTGTCAAGTCTCAGGTGCTCAACTTATGATCCAGCTCCCTGCTAATGTGCCTGGGAAAGCAATGCAAAATGGCCCAAGTCTTTGGTCTCCTGTGCACACATGGGAGACTCTGATGGAATCCCAGGCTCCCAGCTTTGGCCTGACCATTATAGCCTTTGGGGAGTGAATCTGCAAGTGGAAGATGTCTGTCTCTCAATCCCTCTCTCGCTCTCTCAGCCTCCCTCCACAACTTTGTTTTTCAAACTAATCTTTAAAATGTTTCCTTGTATATGGTATTTTTTTTCCTAGCCATTTTTCAGTAACTACATTTTGCATCCAATTTGTTCTGGCAGGTTCCAAAGGATACACAGTCAATCACATTAGGCCTATGTTACTATTATTTTCTCTATTCTCAGTCGGTGATCTTATGGAGAAATTTTCTGGAGCCAAATGATCCTGGCTACATTCGGCCATCATTGAGGATCAATCATCTTTGTTCCCATGAAGAGGCAGAAAACTTTGGCCTTGGCAATACTGATCGAGCTCCCCTGTGATTGACCACAGGGACAGTCCAGACAGGTTAGCTTGTTCAGAATGGTGATCTCTGAGGAAAGTGCTCACACTCTCTCTCTGGGGGCTGGATCCTCACCTGAACTGGTGGGCCCGCAGGATGCTTGTTGAGCCATATCTCATTATTTGGTTTTGTTTGCTTGTCTGAAAGGGGGTTCCCTCTAGGCAAGTGTTCATCAAGGTTTCAGGTTCCAACTAAATATCTTCTGTTATTATACTAATATAGAAAAGAGCATATCTCTGTAACTCTTCCTTTTCTAAATAATGGTGTTGATATAGACACAGAAACTCATTATAGCATAGTCTGTGAAAGTAAAACATCAAAAATCATTCAATGTGCATAAATAAATGGTTACTACATGGCACAATGCATAGCCATTTAAAAATATAAGTCAGGGGACAGTGTGGCATAGCATATTAGCAGGGCCCAGCATAGTAGCCTAGTAGCCTAGCCTTACACATGCTGGGATCCCATATGGGGGCCCAGTTCCTGTTCTGGCTGCTCCAGTCCACATCCCGCTCCCTGCTTGTGGCCTGGGAAAGCAGTAGAGGATG